AAGAACAGAAGAAAATTGAGAAGTAGGAGATGGAAGAGGAAGAGGAGAAGGAGGGAAAGGAGAAATAGGTGGAGGAGGAGGAATATTAGGAGAAGGAGGAAGACTAATGGTCAGTAGGCTGTATGTTTGTTTTACTGTCAGTTATGTATGCCTAAGCACCTGTGCACGTGTCGGCCTACATGTGGTAATCCAAACTCTCCTACTAGCTCTTCTTCCCTCTTAAGTGATGTATGTATGATATTAGCTCTCCAGAGTAGGGTTTGTGACCCACAGCTACTACTGATGCAGGGCCAAACATTGGTGTCAACACTGATAATTCAACATGCAACCACAAAAAGATCATTTGTATATCACGCCTGGCAGGGGTGTCATCTAGGATCCCTGCTGTGTTGTGGCTGCACGATGATTCTCGTTGTGACAGCACTTCTGCACCATCTCTCAGGACCCATGGAGAGATGTTATCCAGCCCCATTGCCTTTGAGGTACCTAGCTCGCTTAGCAGCCTCTTCACTTCTTCCTCAGTTGTATGTATTGTCTCCAACGCTATGAACACTATCTCAATCATGCCCCCCCCTCACCTATTTCTCTGATGATGTTTTCAATCTTCGGTTTTTCTTCCTGCCATCTTTCATTGTGGATCATCTCCTCACTCTCCCAAAGCCTAAAAATAAACATTCACCTCTCTCTTTCCTCTGGCATTGCCATTCCCGTTTGTACATAGCCATTGTTTCCCTTATTTATTCCTGTAGCTTTTGGTGGCATGATCATGCCTCTGCATGGGTCCTATCTCTCTCTCCACCTTCTCCCCCCTCTCTTACTGCTATCCTTGCTTCTAACTGCTCTCTCCCTTCATTTCTGGGCCATGCTTGGTGGTCTGATAGGGCCTTAGTGTAGGTCAGGTCTCCTTCGTTTCCATTGGCTCCCTATTCAGTACAGGTGTACCTGCTTCAGATGCTGTCTCCTCTGGGCAATAGCCCTGTAACTCACTTCAGCCTATTTACCTCATATTCTAGGGGCCTTATCCTGGCTTCTGCGGCTTCGGCTTATGACTCCCATTTCTTCTTCACTGCCTCCATCCTCCTCTCCATTTTCACAGGAAGCTCACCTAGTTTGCTCTTCCACTCTTGTTCCATCCTTTTATATTGTTCTTCCATCCATTTTTCTCTGCCAGAAGCATTTTCCTCTAATCCTCCGAGCCTTCGACTTCCTTTCCGAGCCACCATTTTTTTTTATGTTGTAATGTGTGTGTGTGTGTGTGTGTGTGTGTGTGTGTGTGTGTGTGTGCGTGTGTGTGTGTGTGTGTGTGTGTGTTGTAATGTGGGTGTGTGCTGCTTGTGCATGTGTGTGTATTGGGGAGTGTGTGTGTGGAGGGGAGTGTGTGTGTGGGGGGCAGATATGGGGAGAGAGAGGGAGGTAGGGAAAGTAATGGGGGGAGGAGAAAGATTAGAAAGGGGGCTAGAGGGAGAGAAAGGGTGAAAGGGAGGGAGGAAGGAAAAGAGAGGAGAATGGGGGGATGGTGGGAGATGACAAGGGATAGAAGAAAGAGGAAGAGAGAATGATGGAGAGAAAGAGAGGGAGGGGAGAAAAGAGAGGGAGAGAGAGAGAGAGAGAGAGAGGGAAGAGGAGGGGAGGAGAGAGAGAGAGAGAGAGAGAGAGACAAACAAGACAGAGAGAGAGAGAGAGAGAGAGGAGAGAGAGAGAGAGACAAAAAGACAGAAAGAGAGAGAGAGAGAGAGGAGAGAGAGTGAGAGAGAGAGGGGAGAGAGAGAGAGAGAGAGGCAGGAGGAGGTGCATTTCCTTCTTAAATCGCTTGACGAAGAAAAGGCTGTGGGCCAAGACAAGTTGAGCCCAAGATTGTTGAGAAGATGTGCAGACCAGCTAGCAGCACTTCTAACTCGCATCTTTCAGCACTGCCTAGTACAGTGTAAATGGCCCTCTCTATGAAAAAAGGCAAATGTAGTCCCTGTTCACAAAAAGAAGAGCAGAGCAGAAATCAGCAACCACAGACCAGAGTCACTCCTGTCAATCACTGGTAAGATCCTTGAGTTTTTGACTACCACTCACTACTTTGTGATCGTCAATATGGCTTCAGGAAAGGTTGCTCTGCTGCTGATCTGTTGTTAAACGTCTCCACTAAGTGGCACCAGTCACTGGATGAATCCAAAGTCAGCTGTGTGGTAGCACTGGACATTGCTGGCGCTTTCGACCGGGTGTGGCACCAGGGCCTCTTAGCGAAACTTCAAGCACTGGGAATTGCAGGCTCTACGTTATGTCTCCTCAGTGATTACCTTCATGGTAGATCTCTAAGTGTAGTTCTCAATGGAACGGAATCAGCAAGACATCCTATTGGGGCAAGTGTTCCACAAGGAAGCGTGCTGGGTCCATTGTTATGGAATGTCTACTTCAACGACCTTCTTCATCTCATCCCAGAATCACATGCATATGCAGACGACTGTACACTGACATTCACTTATCCAAGAGAAGAAATGCCAGCTGCTCTAAGCTACATCAATCACCAGCTGAGAGCTATATCTGTTTGGGGAAATAGATGACAAGTAACATTTTCACCTGAGAAAACGCATTTGATGATCGTCTCTAGGCACCATGATGGAAATGCTGGTGCAGTAGTAAGGATAAATGGGAGGGTGTTGGCACCTGGAGAAGAAGTTGATATTTGTGGGGTGAAATTTGACTCCAAACTAACCATGAAGAACCATGTTGTAAATCTTGCAAACAAGGCAGCCAGGAAGCTAACAGCACTTCGCCGTATCTCGCATCTGCTTGACAGTAGGGGTTGCAAGATCCTGTACGAGGCACAAGTACGCTCACACCATGAGTATGCTCCACTTTCTTGGTTTGCCTGCCCCCTCTCTCATCTGCGACTGCTTGAAAGAGTAGAGAACAGAGCAAGACGTCTCATCTCTCTCCTGGACCCATCCTGGATAGATCTGTCATTTCAGCAGAGTTTTCAACATAGGAGGGATGTGGGTGGCCTTACTGTTATGTACAAGGCCAATATTGTCAAAATACCACACTTGGATCCACTTCGAGGGACAGCGTGAAACAAGCTTTTATGCCACAAGACGAGCAAAAAAGCAGCAACTTCACTCTGGCTGTACCTTCTCCAGAACATCACTCCATCTGAGATCATACATACCAAGGATGACTAGAGCATGGAAACACATTCGTACAGCTTAATGATGTCAACGAGATAAAGTCAGTTGATCAAATGAAAATGCTGGCCCACAGATGGCTCCAACTTCATCCTGTTCCTTACTTGTATGTCTCATGACAATAAAATTTTTTCAAATGAGCTGATGTAGGTAACAGCTCTTAGCTTGCCAATAAAGTTAGGAATCCTTAACCTGTAAATAGCTTGTCAATAAAGCTAGGGATCCTTAACCTTGTCAGACCATGCGTAAAAAGATGAGAGAGAGAGAGAGAGAGAGAGAGAGAGAGAGAGAGAGAGAGGAGAGAGAGATGAAGAGAAATGGAGAGAGAGAGACAGAGGGAGAGAGAGGAGAGAACAGGGAAGTGTAGGGAAATGAGTGGGTTGGTGCTGTCTAGTTACAGTGAAAGGAGGGTGGGGGGAAAAAAAGCGAGAGAGGGAAGGCTAAGGGGAGAGAGAGGGAAAAGGAGGAGGTTGGGGGAAGAGGAGAAAGACGAGTAGGAGGAGGATGAGGGAGAGGAGGAATAGGTGGAGGAGGAAGAGGAAGAACAGAAGACAATGAGAAGTAGGAGATGGAAGAGGAAGAGGAGAAGGAGGGAAAGGAGAAATAGGTGGAGGAGGAGGAATATTAGGAGAAGGAGGAGAGACTAATGGTCAGTAGGCTGTATGTTTGTTTTACTGTCAGTTATGTATGCCTAAGCACCTGTGCAGTGTCGGCCTACATGTGGTAATCCAAACTCTCTACTAGCTCTTCTTCCCTCTTAAGTGATGTATGTATGATATTAGCTCTCCGAGTAGGGTTTGTGACCCACAGCTATACTGATGCAGGGCCAAACATTGGTGTCAACATGATAATTCAACATGCAACCACAAAAGATCATTTGTATATCACGCCTGGCAGGGGGTGTCATCTAGGTTCCTGCTGTGTTGTGGCTGCACGATGATTCTCGTTGTGACAGCACTCCTGGCTCTGGTTCCCCTTCAGTTTCTTCTTCTCTTTAATTATTCTATTCACCGGAGTCCAAGAAACTGGATATTTTCCCTTCGATTTTTTCCTCTTCTTTCCCCCCTTACTTTATGATTGTTTTATTATCACTAACTGATCTATCGATATTCCTCTCATCTTGTGATTGTGTTATTACTCATACTCATCTATCCTCACCTTTATCTCACTGGCTTGGTGTGTGTGTGTGTGTGTACTCACCTAGTTGTGGTTGGAGGGGTCGATTCACAGCTCCTGGCCTACACGTGTGTGCGGGTGTCTGTGTGTGAGCTGTCTATAAGATGGGGACAATTCAGGTAATAGGGATAAAGGAGTAACGAAAGAAAAGGAAGAGAGTATGCATGAGAGGTGAGTCGACTGGTATGAGAGGAGGAAATGCGAGGTCACTGGTAACTACCATCACCTCTCATTAACTCTACACTACTCATCCTCTCAGTACTTTAAATAAAATAATAAAATAAGAAAAGAAATAACTGGGACAGTGAATGTTACTATTCCACTCAGTTTTATTTCTAAGTTTTTGTACAGTAATTTAATCTGGAACAGGAATACAGGATTGGATTTAGATAAATGGGGGATTGTACATAAACAGTGAGACAAAAGTGAATATTATCTTACAATACATGTGCAGTAGGGCGGTTCATCGAAGGAACTTACTAGACACGGGTCTCAAGACCCACACTGAGGACAGCTAGCTCCCCAGAGCTCCCAGCTCTCTCCACAGCTCTATGATCCAGCTACAGCAGACCTAAAGTTTCCCCCAGAGACTCTAGCTCCTCGCCAGAGCTCTACACGCAGGTAAGAGCTTGACCGAATCTCCTCTCTGTTTCCTAGAGTTTATGTGGTCCTTAAAGTGCCCCTCCTAAACTTACGTTTTGGGGTTCACCCCCATGAGATGCACACCACATGTTTTCACACCAGAGTCACTAACACTCCTTACTGTCGCCATCAAGATCAAATGATCTGAGACCGAGACCCAAGGCAAGGGGTGTGACAATTTACACTAGTTGGTTAAGTCTACCTTTGACCTCACAAGCAGAGTTGACCTAAATCACTGTGTGTGTGTGTGTGTGTACTCACCAAGTTTTCACCTAATTGTGGTTGCAGGGGTCGATTCACAGCTCCTTGCCCCTCTATTCTCTGGCCGCTACTAGGTCACTCTTCCCGCTCCATGAGCTTTATTATACCTCTTCTTAAGCTATGTATTGATCCTGCCTCCATACATCACTTCCTAGACTATTTCACTTTCTGACAACTCTGTCACTGAAAAAATGCTTCCTAAGATCCTGTGATTCATCTGAGTCTTTAACTTCCAACAATGACCCTTGTTGCTATGTCCCATCTCTGAAACATCCTGTCTCTGTCCACCTTGTTGATTCCTCTCAGATTTTGTATGTTGTTATCCTATCCCCCTACCTTTCCTATCCTCCAGTGTCGTCAGATCGATTTTCCTTAACCTCTCCTGTAGGGCATACACCTTAACTCCGGGATCAGTCAAGTTGCAAACCTTTGCACTTTTTCTAGCGTCCTTACATGCTTGGCTAGGTGTGGGTTTCAAACTGGTGCTGCATACTCCAATATGGGTATAATATACACAGTGTACAGGGTCCTGAACGATTCCTTAAGCTGTCAGAATGCTGTTCTTAGGTTTGCTAGGCGCCCATAAGCTGCAGCAGTTATTTGGTTTGATGTGCACCTCAGGAGATGTGCCTGGTGTATTACTCACCCCAAGGTCCTTCTCCTTGTGTGAGGTTTGTAGTCTTTGGCCCCTAGACTGTACTCCGTCTGCGGTCTTCTTTGCCAATCTTCATGACTTTGCACTTGAAGGGGTTGAACTTCAGGAGTTCAGTTGCTGGACAAGACCTGCAGCCTGTCAGATCTCTTTGTAGTTCTGCTGGTCCTCGTGTGTGCGTGTGTGTGTATGTGTGTGTATGTGTGTGTGTGTGTGTGTGTGTTGGAGAGAGAGAGAGAGAGAGAAAGAGAGAATGTACCCATAGGTACATCAACACTGCCCATGTATATGAAAGTTAGTCACTGTTTATGTCATGTTAGGCTGCTGCTCCACTCCTCTGAAATGAGTAGATATTTACATTCTTTTTTTACTGGTCACAACCTTGACTGTTGTTAATGACTTTTTTGTGTCAACACAGCTGCCAGTAGCACTGACTCGCTGCTCGTTGCCCCTCACTCAAGCGTCACTTGTGTCAACACTACTGCCTGCAGCACTATATGTGAGTGTGGGTGATGTGTTTTTGTGTCTACCTCCACCTTCCAAGTATACATGTGTCTCGTTCCCTGTTTTCCCAGGCAGTCCGGGCGTCATCACAGCTGTGTGTACCTGACTGCACAGGCAGGAAAGAGGGAGACCTGGTTAAAGACCCAACCAATTGTCTTCAGTATTATGTCTGTAGCGACCCAGATGGAGACGGTGTCCTCCCCATAGAGCCGTCTGTCTTACCCCTCCAGTGCGAAGAAGGGTGAGTCCAATTATACTTTTCTATGTGTTAATATATGTAGGATTACGCGCTGGTCAGCATGAGAGTAGAGTGCTATATGACCCTAACGGGTTTACAGTTTCTCATGAACAAAATAAAATATCAGAATTGTATTTACTCAACTAGGTATATTCCCTCAATGTATATAGTTATAAATATGGTACACATAATTAACATTCGTTGCATATTAATCTCTCGTTGTACATCATGACAGGTATACTGCAACACTTAGATCATTCAGTTATCAATCATTCAATATTTTTTTTAAAATCACAATGCCATATAGATTATAGTTCCTTTTCAAAGTGATTAAACTGATTACTAAGATATTACTTACTTGTGATAATGTTACATACACAGGTGTGTATCAACATAATTATGGTATTCAATACCAACAAGGAGATAAGTAAGACACGTGTACTATAGTTTAGTATCTTTATTCGAAACTTCTCGTTACACAGTAGGCTTCTTCAGTCGAACACAGAGGTGGCTGGTTATGGAGAGAGAAGCTGCAGTGGAAAGTGTCTGACCACCTCATAACTACTTCAAGGTTGATGGATTGATCTCGTCTTTATATCTCCACTGTTTCTGTTGTCTCCATAATAGTTGCATCTGTATTCCACTGATGAAGTCTACTGCATAGACGACATATTTCACTTAGCCACAAGCGTGTCTCTCTGTATATATACATATGTACGTATCTCTCAGTTCATATACACGCATATAAATCTCTGTACTTTAACAAAACCTTCCCAGGACCCTTTGTATGGTAAAATTTAACTAACCAAAACTTTGGTCAAATGAACTTGTAGAACAAATACTAAAACTCTGTATGAAACACTTAGCTTTGTTGCTGTCTCTGCCTATCGTAGCTCTGAGGATAAGTTAAGATAAGATTTCTTTTGGGTTTTTTTTTTTAAAAAAACCCCCGGAGGTTAGCCCCCGGAAAAACCCAAAAAAGTCAGTGCGTCATCGAGGCTGCCCTAATTATTTCCATTGGGGTTTTTTAATCTTGTCCCCCGGGATGGGCCCCCCAACCAGTCGTCAACACCCGGGGCCCTTAATTTGTGCTGGGTTGAACGGTGAAAGGGAAATGTGTCGAATTTTTCCCCACCCGCCGGGAATCAAACCCCGGGCCCTCCGTGTGTAAGCGGGGCTTAGCCACCAGGCCACCGGGCCTCCGAGACGGGACAATTGTTTTGGACCACCCCCTTTCCCCTCTCCCAAAAAAAGTTTCAAATAGGGAAAATTTTCCCCTAGAATTTGTTTAGCTGGGTTTTTAAAATTGGGTTTTATTTTGGGGTTGGGTTTTTAGGGTTGGGTTTAAATTTTATGGTTAAAAGGTTAGGTTATGTTGGGTTTTGGGTTGTTAGGGTAGGTTATGTTAGGTTTTGTTTTAGGTTAGGTTAGGTTAGGTTATGTTAGGTTAAGTTATTTTTGGGTTTTATTTTTATTTTTAGGTTGGTAGGTTAGGTTAGTTAGATTGGGTTTTATTTAAATTGGGTTAGGTTATGTTGGGTAAGGTTTTGGGGGGTTTTTGGTTATGTTAGGTTGGGTTATGTTAGGTTATGTTAGGTTGGGTTATGTTAGGTTAGGTTTAAACGAAAGGGGTTTAGGTTATGTTATTTTTTACGTTGGGTTACGTTATGTTGGGTTTTACGTTGGGGGGGGTTTGTTTATGTTGGGTTGGGTTAGGTTTTGGTTTTTAAATTTGGTTGGTTTTACTTTTTGGTTTTAGGTTATTTTTAGGTTATGTTAGGTTATGTGGGGTTTTATGTTGGTTTTTTTGGGTTGGGTTTGGGGTTTAGGTTATGTTGGGTTTAAATTTTTTGGGGTTAGGCTAGGTTAGGTTGGGTTTTAGGTTAGTTGGGTTAGGTTAGGGTTACGTTATTTTGGGGGTTGGGTTTGGTTTAAATGTTGGGTTTAAACGTTACGTTAGGTTGGGGGTTTAGGTTAGGCTATGTTAGGTTAGGTTAGGTATGTTGGGTTTTGGTTTTGTTAGGTTGGGTTTTATGTTAGGTTATGTTGGGTTTTGGTTTGGGGTTAGGCTATTTTGGGGTTTTAAGGGTTTAGGTTGGGTTATTTTTGGTTTTGTTGGGTTGGTTAGGTTGGGTTTTGGGTTTAGGTTGGGTTTTAGGTTTGGGTATGTTGGGTTAGGTTGGGTTATGTTGGGTTTAGGTTATGTTGGTTGGGTTTTAGGTTAGGTTAGGTTAGGTTAGGCTATGTTGGGTTGGGTTAGGTTAGGTTATGTTACGTTGGGTTATGTTATGTTGGGTTTTAGGTTACGTTCTTTTAGGTTATGTTATGTTAGGTTAGGTTAGGTTTATTTTGGGGTTTGGGTTTGGTTACGTTGTTAGGTTAGGTTTTGTTAGGTTAGGTTATGTTAGGTTTGGGTTAGGTTAGGCTATTTTGGGGTTTTGGGTTTAGGTTGGGTTTTTAGGTTGGGGTTGGTTATGTTAGGTTGGGTTTTAGGTTGGGTTTGGGGTTAGGTTAGGTTAGGTTATGTTTTTTGGGGTTTAAAGGTTGGTTTTGTTGGTTAGGTTAGGTTAGGTTAGGAAAAGGTTAGGTTATTTTAGGTTGGGTTTATGTTAGGTTAGGTTAGGTTAGGTTTTTTTTTTTGGGTTGGGTTTTGGTTATGTTTTGTTGGGGGTTAGGAGGTTGGGTTTAGGATAGGTTTGTTGGGTTGGTTTGGGTTTTTGTTAGGTTGGTTAGGTTGGGTTGGGTTGGGTTTTGGTTATGTTAGGTTGGTTTTTTGGGGTTTGGTTAGGTTGGTTATTGGTTTTAGGTTAGGTTTTAGGTTATGTTGGGTTAGGTTGGGTTTTGGGTTAGGTTGGGGTTGGGTTTAAAGGTTTAAAGGTTAGGTTGGGTTTTAGGTTATGTTGGTTAGGTTATGTTAGGTTGGGTTAGGTTAGGTTGGGGTTGGTTTTAGGTTGGGTTTTATGTTGGGTTAGGTTGGTTAGGTTAGGTTAGGTTGGTTAGGTTAGGTTATTTTGGGGTTGGGTTTTTATTTTAGGTTGGGTTTGGGTTTTTAGGTTAGGTCGGGTTGCAAAAAGTCACACGTACATTGCTTCAAAACAACGATGAGGAGACAACTCAAAATCCAACTCCGGGTTCTACACCATTCCAAAACCGGGATGAACTAAATATTTCGTTAAGGAGGAAACGCTTCAGAACTTAAAAAACACAAATAAAAATGCTCTTTCCAAGAAATTGCTTAAATGTCTGTACCATAAACCACAACACCAATAAACATCTACATGAAATTCCTGGAAGCAATGCTTGTTACCATAAATTTCCAACACTCTTAACACTGGTAATTCTCAGGCTGCCTGATGGCTGCGTGTCTTAACTCGCCACACACAACAGGCCAAGTATCTGCACACAAGTGCCTGACAAGTATTAACTATCTTGCAGTGAGGAATAGATTTTTATATTGGATCACAGTTCGTCTTATGTAGGAAACTATAAGTATTTATATTCGAAATACGAAATCAGATCTAAAAGAATCTTTTTCATCTCGTTTCTGAGACCATTTCACCAGTCTTATACTGTGTGATACATCCTACCAGTTTTATACTGTGTGATACATCCTACCAGTCTTATACTGTGTGATACATCCTACCAGTCTTATACTGTCTGATACATCCTACCAGTCTTATACTGTGTGATACATCCTACCAGTCTTATACTGTGTGATACATCCTACCAGTCTTATACTGTGTGATACATCCTACCAGTCTTATACTGTGTGATACATCCTACCAGTCTTATACTGTGTTATACATCCTACCAGTCTTATACTGTGTGATACATCCTACTAGTCATATACTGTGTGATACATCCTACAGACTTACCCTGTGTGATACATCCTATTAGTCTTATACTGTGTGATACATCCTACTAGTCTTATACTGTGTGATACATCCTACCAGTCTTATACTGTGTGATACATCCTACCAGTCTTATACTGTGTGATACATCCTACCAGTCTTATACTGTGTGATACATCCTACCAGTCTTATACTGTGTGATACATCCTACCAGTCTTATACTGTGTTATACATCCTACCAGTCTTATACTGTGTGATACATCCTACCAGTCTTATACTGTGTTATACATCCTACCAGTCTTATACTGTGTGATACATCCCTAATCATATACTGTGTGATACATCCTACAGACTTACCCTGTGTGATACATCCTATTAGTCTTATACTGTGTGATACATCCTACTAGTCTTATACTGTGTGATACATCCTACCAGTCTTATACTGTGTGATACATCCTATCAGTCTTATACTGTGTGATACATCCTACTAATCTTTATACTGTGTGATACATCCTACCAGTCTTATACTGTGTGATACATCCTACCAGTCTTATGCTGTGTGTTACATCCTAATCAGTATTATACTGTGTGATACATCCTACCAGTCTTATACTGTGTGATACATCCTACTAATCATATACTGTGTCATGCATCCTACCAGTCTTATAATGTGTGATACATACCACTAGTGTACTTACCGTATTCTCCGGCATATAAGGCGCGCTTTTTTCCACAAAATTCTTGAAAATCATCCTGCGCCTTATATGCTCAAAGTCAGGGTCAAGAGCCCTTGAATGTGATTACTAATTTACCCTCATACTTCTGTCTTGCGCCTTATATGCCGGAAAGCACGTTATATCCAGGAGTGATGCACAGTTGTCTTCTTCAGTGAAATATAACACATATGCATATAATGTGATCCTTTATTGACTACGTTTCGCCCACACAGTGGGCGAAACGTAGTCAATAAAGGATCACATTATACTGCATGTGTGTTTATATTTCATTGTGTCGGTATTTTATACCATTTATTTCCACCTTGTCTTCTTCAGGTATTTCTTCAATTCAGCTGATAGTGTGAGGCAATGTCAGACGATAAATCCTTCTGCCGACTATTGTAAAGGTCTCTGCAGCCCGTGTGTCATCCAGTGTGAGACTCCAGGTCAGGATGGTCACGTTATCTTACAAGCATTCTAATATGTTTTTATTTCGTTATCTGTCTCTGTCTGTATGTATGTCTCTCTCTCTCTCTCTCTCTCTTCTCTCTCTCTCTCTCTCTCTCTCTCTCTCTCTCTCTCTCATCTCTCTCCTCTCATCTCTCTCTCTCTCTCTTCTCCTCTACTCACTACTTTTTTACACAGGGTTTGACAAGGTTAAGGATCCCTAGCATTATTGACAAGCTATTTACAGGTTAAGGATCCCTAACTTTATTTACAAGCTGAGAGCTGTTACCTACATCAGCTTATTTGAAAGCAGTTTTACTGTTATAAGACATACAATTAGGGAAAACAATGATGTTGGAGTCATTAGTGGGCCAGCTGAGGGCCATCTGTGGGCTAGCATTTTCATTTGATCAACTGACTTTATCTCGTTGACATCATTATGTTCTACGAATGTGTCCCATACTCGAGTCATCCTGGGTATATATGATCTCAGGTGCAGTGATATTCTGGAGAAGGGTACAGCCAGAGTGAAGTTGCTGCTTTTGCCCGTCTTGTGGCATAAAAGCTTGTTTCTCGCTGTCCTCGAAGTGGATCCAAGTGTGGTACTTTGACAATATTGGCCTTGTACATAACAGTAAGGCCACCCACATCCCTCCTGTGTTGAAGGCTCTGCTGAAATAAAAGGTCTATCCAGGATGGGTCCAGGCGAGAGATGGACGTCTTGCTCTGTTCTCTACTCTGTCAAGCAGTCGCAGATGAGAGGGGGGGGGCAGGCAAACCAAGAAAGTGGAGCATACTCAAAGTGTGTGCGTACTTGTGCCTCGTACAGAATCTTGCAACCCCTACTGTCAAGGCAGATGCGAGATACGGTGAAGTGCTGTAAGCTTCCTGCTGCCTTGTTTGCAAGATTTATAACATGGTTCTTCATGGTTAGTTTGGAGTCAAATTTCACCCCTCAAATATCAACTTCTTCTCCAGGGTGCCAACACCCTCCCATTCATCCTTACTACTGCACCAGCATTACCATAATTGTGCCTAGAGACCATCATCATTTGCGTTTTTCTCAGGTGCAAATGTTTCTTGCCAATCTATTTTCCCAAGCTGATATAGCTCTTAGCTGGTGATTGATGTAGCTTAGAGCAGCGGCATTTCTTCTCTTGGATAGGTGAATCTCAGTGTGCAGTCGTCTGCATATGCATGGGTTTCGGGGGTGAGATGAAAAAGGTCTTTGAAGTAAAATTTCCCATAAGAATGGTCCCAGCACACTTTTTTGTGGAGCATTCCCCCAATTAGGATGTCTTGCGTTTCCCGGGCCCATTGGGGAACTACACTTAGGATTTCCAATGAAGGAAACCATTTGAGGAGAATAGCGTAGAGCCTGAAATTTCCCAAGAGTTCCCGTTTTTTTTAAGACCCCCCGGTCCCACCCCGGCCCAAAAAGGCCAGCAATGCCCAGTGCTACCCACAGCGATTTTTGGGTTTAAACCCCAGTGCCTGGTGTCATTTTAGGGGGACATTTAACAACGATCAGGGGGCAGAGTAGCCTTTCTCTCTTCTCTTTTCTCTTTTCTCTCTTTCCTCTTCTCCTCTTCTCTCTCTCTCTCCTTCTTCTCTTCTCTCTCTCTCTCTCTCTCTTCGCCTTCTCCTCTTTTCTCTCTCTCTCTTCTCCCCTCTTCTTTTCCCCCCCCCCCCCCCCCCCCTCTCTTCTCGGGTTCCCCTCTCTTGCGCTCTCTTCTCTCTGGTTTCTATCTATCAAATCTGGGGAAAATAATGTTTTTTTCCAAAAAAAAATATTGTATTTTTTTTTTTTAAATTTTTGTTTTAACATATATATTTAATAAAAATTTTTGTCATAAAAAATGGGTAGCCCGCACTGGCGACGGGGACTGCCTTTGTTGTTTAAAAAAGGGGACACAAACGTTAGTGAAAAAGGGGAAGAATTTTCGTGTTCTAGAGGTAAATTTGGGCGGGACACCTCCCCAAATAGGGGGATGTTTTTTGTTGGATGTGCATTTCCTGTGTAAATTGAAAATCATACGACTGGACAAGAAAAGGTTTCGGGTGCCTCAGATAAGCTATCTAGTTTTGGGTTTTATAATTTGGCCGTTTTTTTCAAAAATTTTAAGTTATTTGGGGTTTTTTTCTGAGTTTGTTACCCTTTTGATTCCGTCAAATTGGTGGGGTTGGTTTTTAAGGTTTTCTCCTTCGGGTTATGAAAATTGTATTATTTTAATAAATTTTTTAAATTTTTTAAATGGAAAAAAAAACCCTTGGAAATAAATACCGACAAGTTGGTTTAGAAAGGAACTTAAGCAAAAATATGAATTTTATTAGAAAACGTTTCGGCCCTGGGACCTTGATCCCCTTCCCTAAAAGTGATAAAGGGGCCAGGGACCGAAACGTTTTCTAATAAAAGGGATAGTGTTTGCTTAGTGCTTTCAAAACCCAAAAATTTTTAAAATATACGCCCCCCAAATTTATAAAATTTACCAGAATTCCGGGGTAAATGTATTTTTTCATTTAAAATTTAAATTTGGGTCTAGAGCAATTTTGGGGGATATGAAAATGGTAGGTATCAAAGGGGGGGAAATTTTTTTTGGTGACCTAGGTGCCCCCAAATTTTATTCTCTTTTTAAATTTGTAAATTTTAATTTAAATTTTTGTTATTTACTGGTTTTAAAACATTTTTGAGTTCCTTACAGAAAAATTTTAATTTTCCCACATCTCTCTCTCTCTCTCCCCTCTCTCTTTCTCTCTTTTCTTTCCCCCTTCTCTCTCTTTTACACGGGGTTTTTGACAAGGAAAAAGGCCCCCTTGCTTTTTTTAAAAGCTATTTAAGGTTAAGGTTTCCTAATTTTAAATTGGCAAGCTAAGAGCTGTTACCAAACATAGCTCATTTAAAACCCATTTTTTATTGTTAATAGAATACAAGTGGGGGAAACAGGTTTGAATTTTGGAGCCATCTGGGGGCCCAAAGCATTTTCATTTGATAAAACTGCCCTTTATCCCCTTGACATATTTTGCTGTAGAATGTTTTCCCAATACTCGAGTCTCCGGGGTTATTTTATGATTCGTGGAGTGAATGTTCGGGGAAAAGGGTACAGCCAGAGTGAAGTTGGGGCTTTCTCCCCGGGTTTTGTGGCTTTAAAAAGCTTTTTTTTAGGGCTGTCCGAAGTGGATCCAATTTTTGGCTTTTGCAATTTTGGGCCCTTTTGTATTTAAAAATAAAAGGAAAACCCACATCCCTCCTATTTTTAAAGGTTTTCTGCTGAAATGACAGATCCTAAACAGGAGGGGTCAGGTGAGAGTTGGGGACGTCTTGCTCGGTTCTTACTCTGTCAAGCAGTCTGCGTGAAAAGGGGGGGCAGGGAAAAACCAAGAAAGTGGGCAAAACTCAAGGTGTGAGCGTCCCTTGCGCCTCGTACGGGGAATCTTCCCAACCCTTACTGTCAACCCATGCGAGATACAGTGAAGTGCTTTAGTTTCCCTGGCGGGGCCTTTTTTTGCAAGATTTAAAAACGGTTTTCAGGGTTTTTTAATTTTTTGGATTTAAATTTTTTCCCCCAAGGATATAAACTTCTTCCCCGGGGGCCAACACCCCCCCTTTCTTTACTACTGCCCCGGGAAATTCCCGAAATGGTCCCTAGAAAAGTCATCATTTGCGTTTTCTCAGGTGCAAATTTTAAACTTGCCATTTTTTCCCCAAAAGCTGATATAGCTATCAGCTGGTGATTGATGTAACTTAGAGCAGCTGGCATTTTTCTCTTGGAAAAGTGAATGTCAGTGTACAGTCGTCTGCATATGCTTTGTGATTCTGGGTTTTGAGAGGGAAGAAGGTCGTTGAAGTAGACTTCCAAAAACCAAAGGACCCAGACCCCCTTCCTTGTGGAAACCTTCCCCCCAATGGATGTTTGCTGATTCCGTTCCATTGAGAACTACATTTAAAGATTAAAAAATTGAAGGTAATCACTGGGGAGACATGGGTTAGACCCTGCAACCCCCAAAGTGCTTGAAGTTTTGAAAAAGGGGGCCCCTGGTGCCACCCCCGGTGGGAAAGCCCCAGAAAATTGTCCAGTGCTCCCAAAAAAAGGGTGATTTTTTGGTTTCACCCGGGTAAATGGTGCCATTTTTGTGGGGGGTTTAAAAAACAGATCAGCAGCAGGGGGTAACCTTTCCTGAAGCCTTTGACGTTTAGGGGTCGTCTTCTTGTCTCTCCTCTTCGCTTTAATAGATAAGTTTAAAGTTTTTCGTTCGGTTTTTTAAAACCCGGGGGGTTAGCCCCCGGAAACCCAAGAAGTCAGGCGTCATCGGGACTGTTAACTTTTTCTTTGGGGTCCCCTTAAATTTTTGCCCCCCTGGTTTGCGACACACACCATTTCGCCCTAACCCCCAAAAGGGTTCCTATTTGCTGGGGTTTTAAACAGGCCCAAAAGGTGAAAGGGAAACCCGGTCGAATTTTTCCCACTGCCGGGAATCAAACCCCGGGCCCCCTCGTGTGTCGGGAGCTTTTCCCCCCGGGCCACCGGGCCCCCGGTGTTCCCTCTGTACTTCCCTTTTTTTAAATAATAATAATCATGTTTAATAAAAATTTTTATTAATAAAAAATAATAATAATAATAAAAATTTAATGAAAAAGGAATAAAAATAATAAAACCCCTCTTAAGTTTAAAATTTGATATACAAAATTCGGCAAAATTTGAATCCCTTTAAAAATGTTCAATTTTTTGGTTCTTTTTGAAAAATAAATAAAAATAGGCAACAATTTGAGAGAATTTTTTCCATAACGTGGGGCCTTTTTTTCATTACCTTTAAACTAAAACCCTTTTCTGTGAAATTCATTTAAAAATTTTCCCCGCAACATGGATTGTGCAAATAGGGAAACCCTTCCCTTAAAAAGGGTCCTCGGGAAAAGTAGAATGTCGATTTGGTACCCCGTATTTAAACTTCGAGAGGGGAAAACGTGTTTGGGGGACCCTACTTTTGCTACGAAATTTGGTGC